GGGATCGAGTCCCACATCGGGCTCCCTGCTCAGCAGGGAGTCTGCTTCTCCCTCTGACCCTCCTCCCTCTCATGCTCTCTGTCTCTCATTCTCTCTCTCGCAAATAAAAATAAAATCTTAAAAAAAAAAAAAAGAAACAAGACCTCTGAAGTCTGTTGTGCAAACTCAGATGTGAAGACAAGTGGTAAGGCTCCCCACCAAGTGAAACACAACATGGCCACACCACTGGGCTGTTCCCCTCCCAGGTCTACCCACGAGAATGGGAAATGAGCAACACGCAGAACTACATAAATACATGAATGTCTGCGGAGACATGACTGACGACAGCCCAGAGCAAATGCACCAGGCGTCCAACAGCTGCTCGGTGGACACACAGATCACGGTCTATCCACGCGGTACCGCGCTGAATGTCATGTCTACTCAGAACCTGTGCACAGCCTTGTATTTGGAAACACAGGTGTAGGGGCACCTGGGTGGCTCAGTCAGTTAAGCGTCTGACTCTTGATCTCAGCTCAGATCTTGATCTCACAGTCGTGAGTTCAAGCCCCGAGCTGGGCTCCACGCTGGTGGAGCCTACTTTAAAAAAAAAAAAAAAAAAAAGGCCCTGCCGGTGTAATCAGCCTGGATGAAGACTCACAAATCCGACTGCTGTCCCCATCAGAACACGGAGAGGCGGGACACAGACACAGGGGAGCCATGGGAGGGCAGGGGCTGAGGGACACGGCCACAGGCCAGGAGCGCCAGGAGTCCCCGGAGCTGGAGGCGGCAGGAAGGGCCGTCCTCCAGAGCTCAGGAGGGGCCGGCCCTGCTGCCACCCTGACTTCAGACTCTGGCCTCCAGAACTGGGGCAGGAGAGATTCACTCCTGTTTGTGGTCAGTGGGGCTGCCCCAGGAAGCAGCAGACGTGCACTGAACGCCGCTGGGCTGGGGGGAGCGCAGCATCGACTCGCAGGGAATCAGGACGCTGTGGGCCAGGACCAGACATGAGGACCGCGTGCCGTGGGGTTCCATTTCCGTGAAGGGCCAAAACAGGCAGGGCCAGAGGGTTGGGAGGTGGATCGTGGGAGCTGGGGGAGGGGAGGCAGGTGCCTGCCAAGGGGCACGGGGCTTCTTCTTGGGCCGACGGACACGGCCTGAAGTGGACTGTGGTGGCCGCACAGTGCGCTGAGCCCACGAGACCCCACGGACCTGCCCATCTAAGCCAGTGAGCGGCCTGCAGCCTGCACGATGTCCCCACACAGCTATCAGAAAAGTGCAGGCAGCCTGCAGGCCCGGACCGCTCTCCTGAGTCAGCCAGCAGGCGGTCCCTCTGGCCTTTCAGCTCTGAATTCCTCCTGGTGTGGTTTATTCTGAAGTCTCTGAAATGGCTGTTCTGTTTGGTGACCACAGGCGCCAGCATGGAATAAGCCCCTGGAGGAAGGTGTGGCCACAGGAAGGATGGAGGATAAGCCTGGGGGCAGAAAAGGGACACTGTCCCTCAGTGACAGGAGTCTGTGAAGCCCCGCACAGGGAAAAGGGCCCATATGTCCCAGTCGGGGGCGGGAGGGGCTGAGAGCATGGCCCGAGCCAGACCCAGCAGCCTGAGGTGCAGGTGGAGGGCGGTGCAGGTGGAGGGCGCGGCTGCCTCTGCCCCGAGGCCACGGGACTCACTTCCCTTCCTGGGATCCACCTTTCCTTTCCCTAGAGCTGCTCACTGCTGGCTGTGAGGGGTCATCCTAGGCCCTCAGACTCGCATCAACATGCATCAAAGGACATACACGGTCTGCTCAGTGGCTCGGGTGGTTCAGGCTGGGGTCTCTGCCTGACAGGCCCACCACAGTCACACAGCGGCCGCTTCTGTTTAGCCCGACTTCACAGCCCCCACTCCTGCCATACAGATAAGGACCCAAGACACAGCCAGTACCCTGGCACTCGGAAGTGGGCCTCTATCCCCCTGCCCAGCAGCCCCGTCTGCTGTGGAGAAGGGAGAAAAGTCAGCTCCACCGAAGAGACCGTGCTCAGCATCTTCTAAACTCATTTAACAGCCATCTGCAGGGGACCCGTCTGGTCCTGAGCGCACACCGAGGAACAGTGAGACAGCTGCTGTCCTGGCCCTGAAGCCCCCGCGGCCCGAAGCCCCCCAGCCCTGGCCTGTCTAGCAGGAGAGCCAGAGTTTCTATTTCTGCCCAAGTCACTGTGTCACCAAGAAGTCCGAACTAAGTTGCGTTTGCCAACCAGGACAAAAGTCTTCGAGACTTCTTCGCATATCGGCTGTTAAACAACCCCAAAGCCACAAGGAGGAACCTGCACAAGAGAGGCCCGGCCCCAGTCCTGGCCCTCCCGGCTGGCTGTTCCGGTTCCCTGCTGCCCGACGTGCGGCGCCCAGGCCGGGGGTGGGGTGCTGCCCATGAAGCCCCCTCAAGAAAAGCACTCCCAGGGCCGGTCCCGCACCACCACTCAGGACCTCTTGGGCCTGAACCAACGCTTTCAACAGAAATACAACCACCTGTATACATCTGCGTTTTCCAGCAATCCCATCGAAAAGGCAAAAGAAAACAGAAAAAGTTCATGTATTTTAACCGTGTACCCAAAATGCGATCATCTGAACACGCCTTCAACACGAAACACTCCCGCCAATGGCGAAGAAACAGGCAGGTGGCTGTACACGAGGTCACCGCGGATGGGAGGGCAGGAATCGGAAAGGCGAGCCATCGCAGAGTCTGGCCTTCGGACACTGCTCCAAGCGGCTTCCGCGGGGCTTGGCTTGCAGAAGGCCGCCCCATGGGCCAGAGAGCACGCGTGTCCAGGACGTGTTGTTGACGGGGCCAGCACCCGCGAAGTCTCCCCGGCAGCCACCGGGGCAGGGTCTCCCGAGGAGCCTCAGCGCCTGCTCCAGAAGCAGCCCCCCTCTGAGCGCGCTTACAGGAGTAGAGAAGCACGGTTGCTGTTATCCCCGGGGAGCCAAACTACGACGGAAGTCTAGCATCTTTCAGGATTACCTAAGAACCCTTAACTTTCCATATGAAATCATTTTAATAATGAAGTTATTAAGTGAGAAATTTTATGCTCATTTCCTTGAACTAAGTCTTCGGAACCTGAGCATCACAGGCAGCTCTCCTCCGTGCTGACCTGCCAGGACGGCCCTGGTCCAAAGGCTCCCGTGAGGCTCTCTGCTGGCCTTTTGGGGAAACTCTGAGCCATTCTTACTGGAAACGCTTCTGACTCTAACTGTGGGAGGGTCTCCACACCAACCGCTTCGACTTCCCACAACCCAGTTCTACCCCATCTACCAGGAGCTAGCATCAGACCCCACAGGCCGGGGCTCGGTGCCACAGACTGGCCCCTCTGCAGACGCCGGCCGCACGTCCTCGGCCTCCATACTTCTTTTTATTTTTTTTTCCACTTTTAAACAGAAGCTCCACACCCAGTGCGGAGCCCAATGCAGGGCTTGAACTCACAACCCTGCTATCAAGACCTGAGATGAGACTAAGAGTTGGGTGCCTCACCAGCTGCGCCCCCAGGCCTCCACACTTCTGCCGGAACTCAACCACTTGCTGTCACAGCTCACAGTACCCAGAATGCACCGTACTTCCTATTCGCAGTTTGTCATAAAGGATGTGACTCAGGAACAGCAGACGGAAAAGATGCCCAGGCGAGGTGAGGGTAGGGGGAGTCACGCTGCCAGCAGATGCCATCCCTTAGGGTTTCGTGGAGGTGTTGCTGCAGAGGCAGGGCTGATTAAATCACCGGCCGTCGGTGACAGAACTCAAGCTCCAGCCCGGTGGCCTTCCCTGGAGGCCAGGGCCACGCTGAAAACTCCTCTCTAACCATGCCTCAGCCCCTCTGCTGACCTGTCCTGAAGCTCGCCAAGGGCCTCCACTACCAGCCAAGTCACATCGAAGCTCTGTTATCACAGCGGGGTCCTTCCAAGGGTTTGAGGAGCGGACGCTGGGACAGGTGACAGGACCTGAAGGGCACCAAGCGCCTGGGCTGCCCCTGCCCCTGCTCTACCCTGACACCTCACACCAAGTTCAGAACCTCCATTTCACTCCCAGCTTCTGTGGATCAAGAGCACCGGTGACAAAGTCACTGAGAGACAAATGACAGCTCAGTCCCCTGCCAGGCATCCTGCTAACCTCTGCAGGGCCGATCCATCAGTGTGACCAGAGTGGCCACAGGCCCGGGGCTGCACACTCACGCAGCAGCGGACACTCCTCCTGCTTCAAGTCTTCCCAGACCCAACAAAACCTGACCTATGGCCAGAATTCTCTGCCAGCCTGAGCAGCCGACCAGGGAGACGGCAACAGCCCCAGGCAGGGCACATCCTGGACGCCAAGAGCAGAGAGCGACCTTCAGGGCAGGCGGGCCCTGGGTCCCAGTCAGCTCTGCACCCCTTCCCTGCCCCAGATACCTGGGGCAGAGTGTTGGGGGGGATGGCAAGGTGACCAGGGGGTGCTGGAGAACTGGCCTGGGCCGCCGCTTTGTCCTTCTGGAGTGGGACAGACGGAACAGTGGAGGAGTCCTTCCCTGGGCAGCCTAGACGTGACTACCTTAGTCCAGCTCTACCAAAGTAAGGCTACTGATGGCAGGGCCAGGATCTCATGGCCCCTGGTGGGTGCCACACAGCCCTCCCTCATGTCCTCCCCTAGGGCCCATCTCCATAGGCCACCCCATCTATGTCCCGCCACCTATGACCCTCCCCCACTCAGGGCCCTCCCCTCCTCCCCCACGGCGCCCCCCCAACCCTGCCCCATTCACGGCCCTTCGCCCCA